TAGGTGCATGGATGGATGGGTGGGTGAGTGGATGGATACATGGATGGATACATGGCTGAGTGAGTGGATGGGTGGATGAGTGGATAGATGGGTGAGTGGGTGGATAAATGGATAGATGGATAGATGAGTGGGTGGATGGATGAGTGGGTTGATGGATGGGTGGGTGGGTGGATGGGTGAGTGGGTGGGTAGATGGATGGGTGGATGGGTAGGTAAGTGGGTGAGTTGATAGGTACATGGATGAGTGGGTGGGTGGGTGGATGATGGATGAGTGGGTGGATGGATGGGTGGGTGGGAAGATGGATGGATGGATGAGTCATTAGATTAACACAGTGTTCTTCATCCTACTGGAATGTCTCTAAATCCAATCATTTTCACCATCAGTGCCTTCCAAAGAGAAGAAAGACAATCTCTGAGTGGGAAGAGGGGTGGAAGAATTTTTGGATACAAATCTGGAGTCAGGAATTTCAGAGTGATCTATAAATAATTTATCGTCTAGTGATAGTGTGATGGAAAGTGGTATAAGTTAATGTCAGAAAGAGCCTCACTTCTGAAGCTTAAAACTAATTTTGAGAGAAAGTCTATGATATTTATCTTGGTCAATGACAAGTGTCATCATCAGAAATCAATGTTGGGAAAGTTGCCCCAATTTTGGGGCCTATGTCTCAGGAAGGACTTCAAAGGGAATTTATTCTGTTGCTTTTTTGTGGAGTGGGTGGGGTGGGCTGTGTCTGAGAGAATCCTGAAGACTCCCTCTGTTATTTTGGTATCTGTTTATTTCCCTCTGATCTGAGCAGTTTTCCTCTCCCTGTGTTTAGAAAAGTGGACATTGGCTAAAACACACACGCTAACATACTAGAATCCATTCTATTAATATTAATAATCTAGATTGCCAGGTGTGGTGGCTGAAGTCTGTAATCCCAGCACTTTGGGAGGCTGAGGCTGGTAATCAGGAGGTCAGGAGTTCGAGACCAGCCTGGCCAACATGGTGAAACCCTGTCTCTACTAAAAATACAAAAAATTAGCTGGGCGTGGTGGCAGGCACCTGTAATCCCAGCTACTCAGAGACTGAGGCAGGAGAATCGCTTGAAACTAGGAGGCAGAGGTTGCAGTGAGCTGAGATCGCACCACTGCACTCCAGCCGGGGTGACAGAGCAAGACTCTGTCTCAATAATAATAACAATCTAGGTTAATTTCAAAGCAGTGAAAAACAGTTGGAGGCTTTGGAGCTGGTGCCTAAGTGGTGCAGATTGCAAACCCCAGTGGGGCAGAGTACAGGAGAGGAGGGGAATAGAGGGATGTCTATCTGTGAAGGTCTTGAACTTGCTCACTTCCTACCTAGGTCATAGACATTGTGAAAATGCTTAAAAAGTAAGTTGAAGCTGGGGAGTGGGGATCTGTTTTTCAGCTCTCCCTGGTTCTGTCCCTCTGCATTCCCGTGTTGTCTGTGACTACAGGATTCCAGAGTTTGGCTTATTTCTTTAAGGAGAGCATTTTCGAACACTGTCAAAGTCTCAGTTCTCCCGACTGGACTAAAACTCACTCATCAGTGGGTACTGAAGAGAAGGGGCTCATGTTAAGCCCATTCAGCTGCCTTAGGGGAGGATCCCCTGGCCTGCCACGAAGGAGGAACATAAGCTTTAGGAAGGGGAGGGGGCTGGCTGTGACTCTATCTGGTGACACAGGAGCTGTCGGTCAACCACGAGGGAGCACTCAGGGTGCTGGGGGTGGTTCCTAGCAATGCCGGGTCTCTCGTCCTCTCTGATCCCCTGAGACTTTCAGGGATGGGCAAAATTAGCCCTGAAAATGGGCCGCAGGTCCTAAAATAGCCTGGTGTCCTTGGAGGCCTGAGAGGAGCTGAGAGGCACTCACTTCCTCAGGACAGTCCTGACCAAGCCTCTGTCTGGGAGACGGTCCCCTTGAGTTTGGGGTGGGGACCTGCAGGGCGGGGTCCTCTCTCTCAGTAGGGAAGGTGCTGGGCTTTGGCCTCCCGGGGCAGAGGAACTGCAGATGGGCAGAGGCCCAGAGCATCACCCATGAGCAGTGGGCTCTGCTTTGGGGGCCGGTGTTTGGCTGTAAATTCTGCACTCACGTGTTCCCACGGAAAAGGGTGAGGGCTGCCTAGAGCCGGGGGAGGACTGTCCCGGAGAAAGTAACTGTGGCCACCGGGGCTTTCCTCGCAGGGACGCCCACCAGCCCTCCCCACGATGATCCCCGCAGCCAGCAGCACCCCGCCGGGAGACGCCCTCTTCCCCAGCGTGGCCCCACAGGACTTCTGGAGGTCCCAGGTCACGGGCTACTCGGGGTCTGTGACGCGACACCTCAGTCACCGGGCCAACAACTTCAAACGACACCCCAAGAGGAGGAAGTGCGTTCGGCCCTCCCCACCCCCGCCCCCCAACACCCCGTGCCCGCTTGAGCTGGTGGACTTCGGGGACCTGCACCCCCAGAGGTCCTTCCGGGAGCTGCTCTTCAACGGCTGCATCCTCTTCGGCATCGAGTTCAGCTACGCCATGGAGACCGCGTACGTGACCCCGGTGCTCCTGCAGATGGGCCTGCCCGACCAGCTCTACAGCCTGGTGTGGTTCATCAGCCCCATCCTCGGTGAGCCCCAGCTCCACGCTGATGATGGTGGAGGGCCTCTGGAAACCTCTGGAAGCTCATTGCAGCAGCTTGAGTGTCCTAATAGGACCAGGGAGGATCAGGAGTTAAGTTCCCCTGATTAGTCTGGGGCTGTGGGGAACACAGGGAGGGCCGGTCATATCCCAGATTTTAAGTTTCTCATCGAAACCAGACAATCAAGCAGGGACTTAGCAGCCCCCGGGGGCTGGCACCGTCTCATGCCAGGCTCTCCTCATCGGAGGATCCAAGCCATGATGCTGGTGTCCTGTGGGCCTAGGAGTTCCGGAAATGTCTTGGATTCCCAAGGAAAGCTGTGGCCGCTTAGGGCCTTAGGGTCGAAAGTGGAGGATTTAAGGAGACACCGAGCGATTCCAAGAGTCTGCTCAGCTTCGGTTTTCGAGTTCAGGGTTTTGTCGCTGACTTTGTCGTCTTATTCTTTTGATGCACTGGGGGCGTTTGAGAGCTGCCACTTCAGGAATATGGAGGCTGATTCAACGTCCCCATGCGCCATGGGGACCCTGGCAATGACCATTGGCCTGCTCTGTTTCAGGATTCCTACTGCAGCCTCTGTTGGGTGCTTGGAGTGACCGGTGTACCTCAAGGTTTGGAAGGAGACGCCCTTTCATTCTTGTCCTGGCTATAGGTCTGTTGTTTTGGCATGGAAATAAAATGGAGAGGAAAATAAAAAAGTCCCAACTGCTTCCTTTTAGGAACATTTAAAAGAATGTTGACCAGGCCGGGCGTGGTGGCTCACACCTGTAATCCCAGCACTTGGGGAGGCTGAGGCAGGTGGATCACCTGAGGTCAGGAGTTTGAGACCAGCCTAACATGGAGAAACCCCGTCTCTACTAAAGATACAAAATTAGCTGGGTATGGTGGCGAATACCTGTAATCCCAGATACTAGGGGGCCTAAAGCAGGAGAATCACTTGAACCTGGGAGGTGGAGGTTGTAGTGAGCCGAGATTGCGCCACTGCACTCCAGCCTGGGCGACAAGAGCAAAACTCCATCTCACACACACACAAAAAGTAAAGAATGTTGACCAAAGCAGTTACCCAGATAGCTCTGGGCCCTGCACTGGTGTGTCCCACAACCTGGCCTGAGTTAACTGTAAGAATAGATCACTTTGATTATTTTTTAAAAATGAGTTGATAAAGTTAATCTCATTTCTTCTCTGCTTGATGAAATAAAAACCCCCATCCAAGTGCAAAACACGTGGCGAGTCTGCAGGCGCCTTTTCCACTGGGCTCTGCTTGGGGTTTAAGTTCTAAAAATTATTGGGTCCTAAAGATTCTAGACGTAAGCCGTGAGCTGTGGGGGACAGAGCTGGTCTGCGTTTCCTTGGCATGACTTTGTGTCTCTGTGTCCAGGGGCACTGCTGGGCCTTTCGCTTTTGCTGAATGGCCGGGACATCGGCATCGCCCTGGCCGACGTGACTGGCAACCACAAATGGGGCCTGCTGCTGACCGTGTGCGGGGTGGTGCTCATGGACTTCAGTGCCGACTCAGCGGACAACCCCAGCCACGCCTACATGATGGACGTGTGCAGCCCTGCGGACCAGGACCGAGGCCTCAACATCCACGCCCTCCTGGCAGGTGAGTCTGCAGGGCTGCAGGCCTCAGACATGTGGCTTTCAGGGCCCTTCCTCACTCCCTGATTTGATAAAGAACCTGGCAGAATTCCAATATACAGAGAAACACTAAATGATTGAAAACACATATCTCACATAACACATATCAACCTTAACCTATGCTGTTGACACATCATCAGCAATTATAGGTCTACACAATTGTAGTTCTATAAATCCAATTATTTTTTGAGACGGAGTCTCTGTCTGTAGCCCAGCCTGGAGTGCAGTGGTGCGATCTCAACTCACTGCAACCTCTGCCTCCCGAGTTCAAGCAATTCTCCTGCCTTAGCCTCCCGAGTAGCTGGGACTACAGGCATGTGCCACCACGCCATGGCTAATTTTTTTGTGTTTTTAGTAGAGACGGGGTTTCACCATGTTAGCCAGGATGGTCTCGATCTCCTGACCTTGTGATCTGCCCACCTCAGCCTCCCAAAGTGCTGGGAATACAGGTGTGAGACACCGTGCTCAGCCATCCAAATGTTTATATACATGGATTCTCATTGTTTGAGGTTGTTATGTTCTACAAAGTCACCACAAACACTGAATTAGCAAACGCTGAATTTCGCTCCTAGGAAAATTACAGCGTTAGGTTCCTGTGAGCCTCCAATCACAATGTTTTCATCAACTCATCAACACATAACCTTGCTGTATGCATTTCTGTTTGAAACCCCTTATTTTGTCTGTGCCTTTGGCTGATTGACATTGAATTGACGGCCGATAGCGCTGCAACTCAAGCCTGAACGAAGCTTCACTGTCACACACATTTTCTGTGCAAGGCACGTCTGGCCTTCTTACGCTTGGGAACATCAGACAGCTTGGGGGCCATTTAAACAGTGAAACACCAACAGAAAATGCAAAAATGTAAAAAAAGGTGACACTAAATAGACCATACAAAAAACTCTTGTTTCAGCTGGGCGCGGTGGCTCACGCCTATAATCCCAGCCCTTTGGCAGGCCGAAGCAGGTGGATCACCTGAGTTTGGGAGTTCCAGACCAGCCTGACCAACATGGAGAAACCCCATCTCTACTAAAAATACAAAAAAATTAGCCAGGCATGGTGGCGGGAGCCTGTAATCCCAGCTACTCAAGAGGCTGAGGCAGGAGAATCACTTGAATCCGGGAGGCAGAAGTTGCAGTGAGCCAAGATTGTGCCATTGCACTCTAACTTGGGCAACAAGAGCAAAACTCTTGTCTCAAAAAGGAAAAGAAAAGAAAACTTGTTTTTGGTATGAGCGCAGAGACGAGAAAGCAGAGCTCAGCGCTGCGGGGCCTCAGCTGGACCACCCGCCCTTAGAAAGTGCAGGTGTTGTGCTGTTCTGTGCAAATCCTTGAATGATTGTGAGAGCAGCGTGAGGATTGGTTCTGCGTTTAACAAATAAGTGGTAGTAAGGAGGTGAGTTCACAAATACAGAACATGCAGATAATGAGGATTCAGCCCCGCTTGTCTCTGGGGCTGGATGTATGAAAACTTCAAGGGAATTAGCTGCAAAGCAGTGCAGGAATTCAGCATCATGCTTAGTTATGAAGGTATTATCTGCAAATCAATACTGGTCGGGTGCGGTGGTTCGTGCCTATAATTGCTACACATTGGGAGGCAAAGCTGGGAGGATTGCTTGAGTTCAGAAGGTTGAAACCAGCCTGGGTGAACAGTTAGACCCCATCTCTAAAATAAATAAATAAATAAATGTAGCTTTTTAAATATAAAATATTTGCTTTGTCACAGAATAAAATGGAAGAAAAAAATCCATCTCAAATAGCAATTGGGGCCAGGCGTGGTGGCTCACACGTGTAATCCCAGCACTTTGGGAGGCTGAGGTAGGTGGATCACTTGAGGTCAGGAGTTCGAGACCAGCCTAGTCAACATGGCGAAACCCCATCTCTACTAAAAATACAAAAATTAGCCAGGCATGTGGCGTGCACCTGTCATCCCAGCTACTCAGGAGGCTGAGGCAGGAGAATTGCTTGAACCCAAGAGGTGGAGGTTGCAGTGAGCCAGGATCGAGCCACTGCACTCCAGCCTGAGTGACAGAGTGAGACTCCATCTCAAGATAAATGACTTTAAAAATAAAATAAAATAACAAGTAAAATAGCAGCTGGCTGGGCTGAAGGTAGTGAGTTATCTCAACTGATCTCTCACAGTCAGTTACAGATGGAATTCCTTCCTCTACTCTTTCTCCAGCTCTCACTGCTGCACTTGACTTGTCTTGAAAAAGACATGCATATATCAATTGAAACAATGTTTAAAAATCAAGGGGAAAGGGCCAGGCGCGGTGGCTCAGGCCTGCAATCCCAGCACTTTGGGAGACCAACCTGGACAGATCACGAGGTCAGGCGATCAAGACCATCGTGGCCAACATGGTGAAATCCTGTCTCTACTAAAAACACAAAAGTTAGCTGGGCATGGTGTCATACCCGTGTAACCCCAGCTACTCAGGAGTCTGAGGCAGGAGAATTGCTTGAACCTGGGAGGCGGAGGTTGCAGTAAGCCAAGATCACGCCACTACACTCTAGCCTGGAGACAGAGTGATACTCTGTCTCAAAAAAAATAAAATAAAGGGAAAGTCTTCATGAGACACACACATAGGGCCTGAATGAAGAGGCTGAGTCTCGGGTGGCTGGGAGCTCAGGAGCTGAAATTCCATGTTACACAAACTACTCGGCCTCCCCAAGCCTCCCTTGCAGCTCCCGGAAAATGCTACCACTTCTCTCTCTGTTTCCACCCATGAGCTGCTGGGGGCAAGGGGGCTTCCAAAGGGGCCAGGTGAGTGCTGGGTTTGGCACAGAGGAAGAGGGACGTCGGTTTTTACCTTACACCTGTCAGTGAGAAGGCACCACTTTGATCATTCAAGAAAATTAGTTAATAAAGTTCATCTGAAATCTGACCTTGACTAAGCAATGGTATCTTTCAGGAGGGGAGGAGGGAAGGTAATCAGGATCGTGAGCATGGGAAGTCAAGAATAATAAAATGCACCAGGGGTAGTGGGGAGGCAGAAAGACTCCTAAGTCTAGAAGAACAGAGGCAGAGAAGGGACGGGACTGGGGCTTCTTCTTTTTTCTTTTTTTTAGAAAGTTTTGCTCTTGTCACCCAAGCTGGAGTGCAATGGCGTGATCTCAGTTCACTGCAACCTCCGCTTCCCGGGTTCAAGTGAGTCTCCTGCCTCAGCCTCCTGAGTAGCTGGAATTACAAGCACGTGCCACCAAGCCCGACTACATTTTTTTGTATTTTTAGTAGAGGCAGGGTTTCACCATGTTGGCCAGGCTGGTCTCGAACTCCTGACCTCAGGTGATCCACACCCCCTCGTCCTCCCAAAGTGCTGAGATTACAGGCGCGAGCCACTGTGCCTGGCCTAGGACTGGGGCTTTTAAATGGACATGCATGTGAAATGAAAAGGCCCATCTGGGTCTAATGAAGGAAGTTCTACAGTAAAACCACGACATAATTAGATCCGGGGTCATGCTGTCCTTAGGTATGCGTGGAAGGCTGAGCTGGGCATGTCTGAAGCCCAGGCCTGCCCATAGAAGTTCTTATTTGGAAAGTAAACCCCTAATGTGGTCAAGTCTTCCCCAGACCAAAAATCTCATGCTGGTAACAGGCAGGTTCCTCCTCAGCAGCAGCGGTAAACCAAGAGAACCCTCCTCTCCTCTCAATACTGGACTAACTCCAAATGTAGCTGAACTCACAATAATATGAGATAAAACAGCGGATCCCTGATGGAGTGGGTGTCGTGAACGTGCAGCTGGCTGGGGTGGTGCCCCTGCGGTTTCCCTGGCTCTTGCCATCGAAGCATAGAGCTGGGCTGGAGGAAACCGCACCGTTCGGAGGTAAATCTGCCCACTGCTGTTAGCTGGGCCCCCGTGGCATCGCTCACAGTTTCCTGCCATGCTTCAAGGCCGGGCTAGGCTGGCCGGTGCCCTGAAGCATGGGGCGAGAACAGAGCAGGAGCAGCAGTGATCCGGCCCCTGCTTTTCTGCTGTCGGCCAACGGCTCAGGTGTCGGAGAGAGCTGCCCGCCAGGGTTGGGGGAGGTAGGCTCCATCTAGCCCCCACAAGGGGTGACTCTCCTCATAGTGTCCCAGGCACGGGACAAACAGCCACAGGCACTTGTGCAGTCGTCTGTGGGTGAGCAATGGGGTTGGCCCTGAGCTAGAGGGGGCCTTGGAAGGAGGATGTACCCGGCTGTCAACATTTGCTCCAGGGACTTGAAAGGTTATGGGGAGTGGAACAGGTAGGAAGTGGAAGGGGCTGTGGGCAGGTAGGTGGTCACTGCGCTGCTGCCGGGGGTCCTGGCAGGAAGGGCCTTGCAGGTGGCCGTGTAGGACAGGACTGGGATGTCCCCAAGGGGCCTGCCCTGGGAATCCCATCCCATCTTGTTGGGGTTTAGGTGGGACAGACTGTGCCCAGGTCCCTGGAATGGCCTTGGCTATGTTCATATCCTTCTAAGAAACGGGGCCGCTGCGCTTGGGGCTTCTCCTCCGGCAGATGGGAACTCACACCCCGTCTCTCCCCCCAGGTCTCGGAGGAGGCTTCGGCTATGTGGTTGGTGGAATCCACTGGGATAAAACCAGCTTCGGGAGGGCCCTGGGGGGTCAGCTCCGTGTCATTTACCTCTTCACTGCGGTCACCCTGAGCATCACCACCGTCCTGACCCTGGTCAGCATTCCCGAGAGGCCGCTGCGACCACTGGGCGAGAAGCGGGCAGCTATGAAGAGCCCTAGCCTCCCGCTACCTCCTTCCCCACCTGTCCTGCCAGAGGAAGGCCCCAGCGACACCCTCCCAGTGCACGAGGCCACCAACTTCTCCAGCCCCATCTCCCCGCCCAGTCCCCTCACGCCCAAGTATGGCAGCTTCATCAGCAGGGACAGCTCCCTGACGGGCATCAGCGAGTTCGCCTCGTCCTTCGGCACGGCCAACATAGACAGCGTCCTCATTGACTGCTTCACGGGTGGCCACGACAGCTACCTGGCCATCCCTGGCAGCGTCCCCAGGCCGCCCATCAGCGTCAGCTTCCCCCGAGTCCCCGACAGCTTCTACCGCCAGGACCGTGGACTTCTGGAGGGCAGAGAGTGTGCCCTGACCTCTGGCTCTGACGGGGACATTCTGAGGGTAGGCTCCTTGGACACTTCCAAGCCGAGGTCATCAGGGATTCTGAAGAGACCCCAGACCTTAGCCATCCCGGACGCAGCCGGAGGAGGGGGTCCCGAAACTAGCAGGAGAAGGAACGTGACCTTCAGTCAGCAGGTAACAGCAAACGTTGAGGGAGGGGCAAGGATCAAGGGCAGCATACGGGGGTCCCCCTGGTCAGGTACATGACGAAGAGGAAGAGTCCGCCCAGGAAGAAGTTCCCGGCCATCATGGGGGTGTTGTCAAGTGCTTTGGCCTAAAGAGCAAAGCCTTAGAGACCAGGAGTGGTGGCTCACACCCAGAGTCCCAGCACTTTAGGAGGCTGAGGTGGGAGGAGCAATTGAGCTCAGGACTTTGAAACCAGCCTGGGCAACATGGTGAAACTCTGTCTCTACTAAAAATACAAAAATTAGCTGGGCATGGTGGTGCGTATGAGTGGTCCCAACTACTCTGGAGGCTGAGGCAGGAGGATGGCTGGAGCCCAGGAGGTTGAAGCTGTAGGGAGCCTTGATTGTACCACTGCAGTCAGCCTGGGTGACAGGGCAAGACGCTGTCTCCAAAAAAAAAAGACAAGCCTCAGAGACATTGCGTCTTCCCTTGCACGTCGGCAAACAAGTTCTGGGCCTGAGACCACAATGAGTGGGTGAGTTCAGGGCATCTGTTAGGTATCAGCTGGTTTAACACCCTGGCCGGGAGTGACAGTGACTTTTTTTTTTTTTTTTGGGATGGAGTTTTGCTCTTGTTGCCCTGTCTGGAGTGCAATGGCGTGACCTTGGCTCACTATGACCTCTGCCTCCTAGGTTCAAGCAATTCTCCTGCCTCAGCCTCCCGAGTAGCTGGGATTACAGGCATGTGCCACTGCGCCAGCTAATTTTGTATTTTTAATAGAGACAGGGTTTCTCCACGTTGGTCAGGCTTGTCACGAACTCCTGACCTGAGGTGATCTGCCCGCCTTGGCCTCCCAAAGTGCTGGGATTACAGGCATGAGCTACCGTGCCCAGCCTTGCAATTCTTTTAAACACTTACGTTTGCCCAAAGGTCATTCAGGCTGGGCCTGTCCCGCTAGTGAGTTTCTTGCAGGCATTGCATGTACCCCACTTGTCTCTAGTATTTTTCCGTAGACGTCCAGGCTCGGGCCCATTTTAGCCGTGGGACTCCCATGCCAATAATCCAAGTCTTCATTGACGGTGGAAACAAGACACGAAAACTGCAGATGTGTCTGGGATCATCCCTTCTGGTGCCTGACATCCGTTAACTCCCAGAGGCTGTAAAAATAGGAATTTCCTTGGCAGTGCCGTCTTCTGTGAAGGCCAAGAACCTTCCGGAAAGCTGTTTCAGTTGTATTTTTTTTTTTTTTTTTTTTTTTTTTTTAGACAGAGTTTCGCTCTTGTTACCCAGGCTGGAGTGCAATGGTGCGATCTCGGCTCACCGCAACCTCCACCTCCTGGGTTCAGGCAATTCTCCTGCCTCAGCCTCCTGAGTAGCTGGGATTACAGGCACGCACCACCATGCCCAGCTAATTTTTTGTATTTTTAGTAGAGACGGGGTTTCACCATGTTGACCAGGATGGTCTCGATCTCTTGACCTCGTGATCCACCCGCCTCGGCCTCCCAAAGTGCTGGGATTACAGGCGTGAGCCACCGCGCCCGGCCCTCAGTTGTATTTTCTATACAACTTGCACTGCAAGGCCACCGACTGATCTGTGGGGTTTCACGAGATTTTAGATTTTAGATTTTTTTTTATTTGAGACAGAGTGTTGCTCTGTTACCCAGGCTGGAATGCAGTGGAGCCATCTTGGTTCACTGCACCCTCTGAGTCCCGGGTCCAAGCAATTCTCCTGCCTCAGGCATCTGTAGCGGGGACTACAGGCACCTGCCACTATGCCTGCCTAATTTTATATTTTTATTAGAGATGGGGTTTCACCGTGTTGCCCAGGCAGGTCTTGAACTCCTGATCTCAGGTGATCTACCCGCCTTGGCCTCCCAAAGTGTTGGGATTACAGGCGTGAGCCACCATGCCCGGCTGTTTTGATTTGTTTGTTTAAATATTGTTGTCTTGTTTTAGTTTTTACTTTTTAAAAAATATACAGATGTGCTCTTACCATGTTGCCCAGGCTGGTCTTGAGCTCCTGGGCTCAAGTGATCCACCTGCCTCGGCCTCCCAAAGTGCTGGAATTACAGGTGTGAGCCACCGCGCCCGGCCTTGTTTGGTTTTGTTTTGAGACAGAGTCTCACTCTGTCGCCCAGGCTGGAGTGCAGGGGTGCGATCACGGCTCAATCCAGCCTCAGTCTCCCAGGCCCAAGTGATCCTTCCATCTCAGCCTCCTAAGTAGTTTGGACTACAGGTGTGTGCCACCACACCCAGCTAATTTTTTACTTTGTGTAGAGATGAGGTCTCACTATGTGGCCCAAGTTGGTCTTGACCTCCTGAGCTCAAATGATCCTCCCACCTCTGCCTCCCAAAGTGCTGGGATTCCAGACACGAGTCACTGCGCTCAGCCCCAGCCCGTTTTCTCCTTGGAGTGAGCAGGATGGTGCCTCCTGTTTGCTTTTCTCTGGTGTGTGTGGCCAGGGTGTCTTCATGCCTGCGTGCTGTCTCAGCGTGAGGAGGGACGCTGCCCGGTGTGCGCAGGCCTCACAGGGACATCTGCTGAGGCTCCTGGTGGCACCAAGGACAGCGAGCTCCTGTCTGGGAAGGGCTTGAGGAACTGAGACTCACTGGAGAGCCAGGAAAGCCTGTCATCCTCAAGGAAAGAGATGTTCTAATTGCTTGGGTTGAGGGCACTGTCACCCTCACTGTGGATGATGTTGGGGTCATTGATCTGGCCTTCATCAACACTGGGTCATCTCAGACTGTTTAAAAAAGTTCAGACTGGCTTTAGATCCTGTTCTTTAGGTGTGGTTGAAAATCTCGCCTTCATCCCCCTTTTCTGTTTCCTTTCTCCAGAGAATGTAATTTACACATCAGTTTTTTGAGGAAAGTAAAAATCATGAGCTAAATACAAACACGTCCGCGCTCAGCGGACAGAGAGGCGTAGCTGCAGCGCTGTTCCTCCGGCAGGCGTGGGTGACGCACCCTGCTGACGGGGGGTGTCTTGGGAGCCGGCACGGCGTCCTCTAAGCTTTCTTTCCCAGCGGGAGTACCCAGGGCCGACTGCACCACAGACTCCCCAGTGGAGCCAGCGCCTCTTTGCTCCCCAACATCTAAATTCAAAAACGATTAGTTTCCCAAGGTGGGAGGATCACTTGAGGCCAGGAGTTTGAGACCAGCCTGGGCAACATAGTGAGACCTCATCTCTATAAAAATTCTTTAAAAATTAGCCAGGTGTGGTGGTGCATGCCTGTAGTCCCGGCTACTAGGGAGGCTGAGGTGGGAGGATCACTTGAACCCAGGAGATTGAGACTGCAGTAAACCATGACCACACCACTGCACTCCAGCCCAGGTGATGAAGCGAGACTCTGTCTCTAAAAAAATGACAAAAGGTCAGGCGCGGTGGCTCACACCTGTAATCCCAGCACTTTGGGAGGGCGAGGCGGGCAGATCACGATGTCAAGAGATCAAGACCATCGTGGCCAACATGGTAAAACCCTGTCCCTACTAAAAATACAAAAATCAGCTGGACGTGATGGTGCACACCTGTAGTACCAGCTACTCAGGAGACTGAGGCAGGAGAATCGCTTGAACCCGGGAGGTGGAGGTTGCAGTGAGCAGAGATGGTGCCATTGCAGTTAGCCTGGCGACAGAGTGAGACTCCATCTCAAAAAAAGAAAGAAGAAAGAAAGAAAGAAAGAGAGAGAGAGAGAGAGAGAGAGGGAGGGAGGGAGGGAGGAAGGAAGGAAGGAAGGAAGGAAGGAAGGAAGGAAGGAAGGAGAGAAAGGAAAAACAGTTGACAAGTTCTCCTGTCCCCTAACTGGAGTCCGTACCCCAAACCCAACCAGGGCTACCTGGAATGAAACCTTCTCCTTCCAGGAGGAGCTTGCAGACCCAGTGCAGATGTCCGTGCAATGTTGCTCTTGAGCCCCAGAAAGAAATCTCTAAGCCCCTTTGCTCTAAGCCCCCTGGCTCCAGTTTCCATCCTGTTGACCATGGGGTGTGTCATGTGCTCTGTGATCCCCTGTTGAGAGCTGGGGCACTTGTGGGGACAGGGCCACCCTGTCTTCTGGGCAGGGGTATGGGGGAGCGTGGAGGGGTAATCCGTGCAGAGAGAATTTTGAATGCATGTTCCTGGTGGCCACCTTGAAATAAGTCTTTCCCAGCCTTTTCTTATGGAAAAGAAAGGACTTCCCAAGTTTCTGGATCTGAACTGACCCCCTCCCTAGCTCTTTATTTTGAGACGGAGTCTCGTTCTGTCACCCAGGCTGGAGTGCAGTGGCGCAATCTTGCTCACTGCCACCTCCACTTCCTGGGTTCAAGCAGTTCTCCTGTCTTAGCCTCCTGAGTAGCTGGGATTACAGGCGCCCGCCACCATGCCCGGCTAATTTTTGTGTTTTCTTAGTAGAGACAGGGTTTCACTATGTTGGCCAAGCTGGTTCTGAACTCCTGGCCTCAGGTGATCCATCTACCTCGGCCTCTGAAAGGGCTGGGATTACAGATGTGAGCCGCCACACCTGCCTGACCCATGTTTTTTAAAATTTCAAATGTATTTTGCACTTTGCAAAGCCTTATCTCACTCCCTGTGGCATAGATCTTGTGTCCTGTGGCCAAATTGTGGGCACGCCCAAAATGAAATTCTAGTCTTAGCTGCTGGGGCCTCAAAAGCGATGCCCTGAGGTGGCTCTCTGAGGCTGGTCTCGGTGGGGGCTCCTGCCGTCTGATAAGAAGACAGACCGAGCCTCCGCGCGGGCGTTTCCGAGAGCGCCTACCCTCTGAGCACCACAGTGTCCATGCTGTGTGATGGGGTGCGGAGCTCTGAGGAAGGATTTGTGGGCTCTTCCCAGGTCGCCAACATCCTGCTCAACGGCGTGAAGTACGAGAGCGAGCTGACGGGCTCCAGCGAGCGCGCTGAGCAGCCTCTGTCCGTGGGCCGCCTCTGTGCCACCATCTGCAACATGCCCAAGGCGCTGCGCACCCTCTGCGTCAACCACTTCCTGGGTAAGCTCTCGACCAAGCCTCCCTGTGCGTCCGGGTCCTGCCCAGGGCTCTTGCCCCACAGGCCTCCTAGGAAACTTTCCATTCTACTAGCCTCCCATGACAGCACCAAGGCCAGGCCTTGGGGGTGGTGGCTGCCCTGGGGGGATTCTTTTCAGGTGCCTGCCCTGGACACCTCCAAGCTAAACCTGGTGTCACCATTGAGAGCCACAGAGCTCATTCTGGGCCCAACACCTGGGGCTCCCCAGAGACAAGATTCTCCTTACCGAGAACCTTGTCAGAGACAAGAAGCTCTTTGGACAACACAGTGAAACGATGGACCCACACATTCCCACCTTCCCACATTCCCACCTTCCCACATTCCCACCTTCCCACATTCCCACATTCCCACATTCCCACATTCCCACCTTCCCACATTCCCACATTCCCACATTCCCACCTTCCCACATTCCCACCTTCCCACATTCCCACCTTCCCACCTTCCCACCTTCCCACCTTCACTCATTCCCACATTCCCACCTTCACACATTCCCACCTTCACACATTCCCACCTTCCCACATTCCCACATTCCC